AAGGAAGGAAAGAAAGGGGAGGGGGGGAGGAAAGAAAAGGGGGAAGGGAGGGAGTTGGAGAGGAAGGAAAGACATAAGAGGGAGGAGGTAAGGGGGAAATGGGAAAATATAAAGAATGATGTAGAAAATATAAATCTCGTAACTTTGTGAAAGTGGGGGGAAATGATGTTGAAAGTTCGGTTTGTATGGTGGTAAATAAATTAAGAGTAGGAAAAAAGATAGGGACATATACAAAAAAGAAAAATGGACAAGCAGTTGGGGCGGCGGCTATTGCAATATAATTGTTTCCTTTATAAATGGAAAGGTTTGCTTTTAGGAATGTTCTTTTAGCATATTTTCAAGCTGTGTATTGTTGAATCCATTAATAGAGAATATGTGGATACAGAGGGCCTGACTATACCCAGTATAAAGCACTGTCAAAAGATTTTGTGCTAGTACAAGAGTACTACCAAAAAATAACATGGAAGGCACTTCATTACTGCTATCATTCTGCAATTCTTTGCTTCACTGGCTAAGCACAGAAGCGGCAGGAACATTTCAAGGCCTTTCTCTTTCAAGGGTAGAAAAGAAAGCAGCTGGAGGGCAGTCCTGAGTGAAGAAATGGCAAGAATAGGAAACACTGAGTCAAATCCCACTGTGGTGCTGTTCTTCTTTTGCAGCATCTGAAGCTCCTTTTCATTATGTCCACCCAAGGAATCACTTCACATCTTGCCTGTGTATTGTCTGTTGTTGATTACAAGGTACAGGGCTGGTTAACTGGCACCTTAAAGTCCCCAGGACTATTGGAAAAGGGGTGTCTTTACCAAGGATGACAAAGCAAGGAGGGAATGGCAGGCAGGGTCTCACCAAAAAGGCGCACAGCATGAAGAAGCTGATGAAATAGACGATGGCAAAGTTGCTGCCACATGTGAATTCCTCTCCGGGTTCGTAATCGGATTCTGGGTCGCATCTTTTTCCAGGCAAGCTGGCCAGCATGATCTCCTGCCAGGCCTCCCCTGTTGCACACCTGGAGAGGGTTGGCAAGGGGAAAGGACACTTGGGTTTGGAGCAGAGATGGGACTGCTGTGGCGGAGGAGGAAGATCAGACCTAGGCAGGTTTATAAGGAGGGGAGTCACTTAGGAGGAAAACACTGAGAGGAAGGGCAGTTAGACATCAGTCTCTGACAGACTCTGCTGTGATTCTTCTCCAAGACAACCTTCTACAATGCTCTCTACGTGGGGTTGCCTTTGAAGACTGTCCGGAAGCTTCAACTGGTCCAATGGACGGCAGCCAGGTTGCTAACTGGAGTGGCTCTCATGGAGCATACAACCCCTCTGTTGCGCCAGCTCCACTGGCTGCCAGTCTGCTACCGTGAACAATTCAAAGTGCTGGCCTTGGCCTATAAAGCCCTAAACGGTTCTGGCCTAACTTACCTGTCCGAACGCATCTCCCCTTATGAACCTTTGAGGACCTTAAGATCGTCTGGAGAGGCCCTGCTCTCTGTCCTGCCAGCCGTGCTTATAATCATAGAATCATAGAGTTGGAAGATACCTTCTGGGCCATCCAGTCCAACCCCCAAGCAGGAATAATTGCATTCAAAGCACTCCCACGGATGGCCATCCAGCCTCTGTTTAAACCAAAAGGAGCCTCCACCACACTCCAGGGGCAGAGAGTTCCACTGCTGAACAGCTCTCACAGTAGGAAGTTCTTCCTAATGTTCAGGTGGAATCTCCTTTTTGTAGTTTGAAGCCATTGTTCCATGTCCTAGTCTCCAGGGCAGCAGAAAACAAGGCTGCTCCCACCTCCCTATGACTTCCTCTCACATATTTCTACATGGCCCTCATCATGTCTCCTCTCAGCCTTCTCTTTCTCAGGCTAAACATGCCCAGCTCTTTAAGCCACTCCTCATAGGGCTTGTTCTCCAGACCCTTGATCATTTTAGTCGCCCTCCTCTGGACACATTCCAGCTTGTCAATATCTCTCTTCAATTGTGGTGCCCGGAATTGGACACAATATTCCAGGTGTGGTCTAACCAAGGCAGAATAGAGGGGTAGCATGACTTCCCTAGATCTAGACACTATGCTCCTATTGATGCAGGCCAAAATCCCATTGGCTTTTTTTGCCGCCACATCACATTGTTGGCTCATGTTTAACTTGTTGTCCACGAGGACTCCAAGATCTTTTTCACACGTACTGCTCTCGAGCCAGGCATCATTGTCCCCCATTCTGTATCTTTGCATTTCGTTTTTCCTGCCAAAGTGGAGTATCTTGCATTTGTCACTGTTGAACTTCATTTTGTTAGTTTTGGCCCATCCTCTTCCCTTAAGGTCCTTGAAGGTTTATAAGGATGAGAGACAGGGACTTCTCAGTGGTGGCCCCTCAGCTATGGGATGCTCTTCCTATGGAGATTAGATCAACTTCTTCACTTTTCGCATTTCGGAAAAAAACTCAAGACATGGCTATTCGAGCAGGCATTTGCGAATACTGCATAGCAGACATAAGAACAGAATCAACTACAAGATGGATTGGACATTGTTTTAATGAGTATTTATTGAATTATGTTTTATTACAGCTGTTATGATTTTATTGATGTTAAAGTTTTTATATTGTAACTGTGTTTTTGGTGGTATTGAATTTTGCCTTGTAAACTGCCTCAAGTCGCCGGAAGGCTGATAGGGGCGGTATACAAATACTGTAAATAAATAAATAAATACAATCTGGCCAGTTCACTGTTTCTGCTACACACTGAGCGACCGCAAAATTACACAGGTCTGCTTGTTTCAGATGTCCAAATGCTTTTTTAAAAGATGTTTCTCTGTGTGACCAGATTATTTTGACAAAACTGTTATTTTGAAATAATTCTGTAATAGGCAACATCTTGTAAAAATAATCTTACATAAGAAGAGGCTTGCTATGCCATACCAAGGGTGTGCCTAGTGACTTTGTATTTGTACTCTCTCTCCTTCTCCCTAGCCCTGAAATAATGGTCTATCTAATCTCAGAAGATAAACAGGGTTAGGTCTGGAAAAGTACTTGGAAAACTAGTCTGCATTCAGAGGAAAGTAATGGCAACCCAACTCTGAATAAATCTTGCCCTGTGAAAATATTGTTGTACGCCAGAGTTGAAACCAAAGTAAAGCAAAGGCAAGGGAAAGTGTCCCTGAATAATCGGGTGCTTTCACCTAGTCATTATCTCAAGTGTAGTGGATGGAGAAAGCATAATAGTACTATTTATTTATTTATTATTTAATTGCTGTATTTGTATGCTCCCCTTCTCAGCCTTTCGGGCGACTCAGGGTAGTTTACAGAGGCAACAATTCAATGCATCATGATCATAAAACATTTAAAACATTAAACATGATATAAAAACATAACAAGAGTAATAAAAACATAATCATTTGTGTCTCCTAATTAAAAACATGTCCAATCTCGTCGTCAGTCGTTCCATATTGCTATGTCTTTTACATTGCATTTTCAAACGTTTGCTCAAACAACCAAGTCTTAACTCTTTTCGAATGTTAACAGGGAGAGGGCCAATCTAATGTGCCTAGGAAGGGCATTCCAGAGTCGAGGGGCCACCACTGAGAAGGACCTGTCCCTCGTCTCCGCCAAACGTATTTGTGACGCAGGCGGGATTGGGATCAGGACTTCCCCAGACTTAAAGTCCTAGCAGGTTCATAAGGGAAGATGCGTTCAGACAGGTAGGTTAGGCCAGATCGGTTTAGGGCTTTATATACTAAAGCCAGCACTTTGAATTGTGCCCAGTAGCGGAATGGTAGCCAGTGGAGCTGGCACAGCAAAGGAGTTGTATGCTCCCTGAGCGCTGCTCTTGTTAGTAATCTGGCTGCTGTCCGTTGGACCATTTGAAGCTTCCAGACAGTCTTCAAAGGCAACCCCACGTAGAGCACGTTGCAGTAGTCTATACGGGATGTAACCAGAGCGTGGACTACCATGGCCAAGTCAGACTTCCCAAGGTACGGGTGCAGCTGGCGCACAAGTTTTAACTGTGCAAATGCTCCCCTGGTCACTGCCGAAACCTGGGGTTCCAGGCTCAGCTATGAATCCAGGGTCACACCCAAGCTGTGAATCTGCGCCTTCAGGGGAAGTGTAACCCTGTCCAACACAGGCTGTAACCCTAAGCCCTGTTCAGCCTTATGACTGACCAGGAGTACTTCTGTATGGTTGGAAGGGGAGCATGAGGGTCAGGAGAAGAAGAACGGTACCTGAAAAGCAGCAACACAGCCTGTGGGAATGTCTGGAAGTTATTGTTACGGTTGATCGGTGTACCATCTTGCATGGCCACTTTGCCAAATGTCTGAAAGGTAAAGAAGTTACTCTCAGGATCGAGCCAGGAAGAGGTTTTAAGCATGAAATATTTCAGGAGCAAACTGGAATGTCCAACAGCATTCAACACTCCTCCCAAAATCCTCTTTCAAAGATTCACAGCTTCATTTCTCTTCATGAGAGTAGAGGATGAAAACAACAACACCATGCTGCTAGGGAGACAGAAGGAAGCCGGAGAATGCGTCCAGCACTCTGCAGGAGCTGGCGGGCTTTCCCCTTCCCATTCCCTTGATCCAAGCCCTGCCCATATAGGGTCTGTGAGTGAAATTTCAACCTGCACATTCGGTTGGAACAGCATGTATATGCACATACCGATGTACATGAGCAAGTATCTTAAATGCCCCATTTTACACAAACACTCATGATCCATCCAGGCTTCCCTCTCTGAGGGTGCACAGTTCTAGCAAGCCCACTCACAGCCGTGAGGAACTGATAAGTCACACAGCAGAAGTCATTAGCTTTGCTCAAGCACACAGAGTGGGAGAGGCTCACCTGCATGCCAATGACTGCGTAGATGAAGAAGATCATGGCAATGAGAAGGGCGACATATGGCAAAGCCTGGAGATGGAATACACAAAGATCATTTGGAGAATGGAGCCATTTCAACCAGGAGCCACTCTCACACACTCACAACGTAGCCCTACATCCAGCATGTCCCAACAAAAAGAATCCCATGGCTCAAACATTCAACATCTCCCAAACATGTCAGAGCTTGATGTTTCGTGACTACAACTCCCAGAATCCCATGATTTAATTGACTACAACTCCCAGAATCCCATGATTTAATTACCCGTTGGGTTGTTCTCTACTTTTGGTTTAAAACCTTCCTACTAGATACATCCTCTGTTCATGTCCAGCATTTATTTTTAAAGTTTTAACTATTACATTTGGCCCAGCCATAGGTTTTTAACATTCTTGTGTGTTATTGTCTATGTGTGAGTTATATTAACTGTATTGTTTATTTTTGTTTATTGCTTGTTGTTTGTATTATTGTTTATTGTTTTTGATGTGTTGTTGGGTTTGGCCTCATGTAAGCTGCTCCAAGCCCCTTGGGGAGATGGTGGCGGGGTATAAATAAAGTATTATTATTATTATTATTATTATTATTATTATTATTATATAAATAAAAATGTAATGTTAGTTCGTGCTACCATCAGAACTCAAAAACCACTGGGGGAATTGACACCAAATTTGGACACAAGACACCTAACAGTCCAATTTATGTCCTCCACTCAAAAAAAATGATTTTGTCATTTGGGAATTGTCGTTGCTGGGATTTATAGTTTACCTACAATCAAAGAGCATTCTGAACTCCACCAATGATGGAATTGGGCCAAACTTAGCACACAGCTCCATGACCAACAGAAAATACTGGAAGGGTTTGGTTGGCATTGACCTTGAGTTTTGGAGTTGTAGTTCACCTACATGCAGAGAAGCACTGTGGACTCAAACAATGATGGATCTGGACCAAACTTGGCATGAATACTCAATATCCCAAATATGAACACAGATGGAGTTTGTGGGAAATAGACCTTGACATTTGGGAGTTGTAGTTGCTGGGATTTATAGTTCACCTACAATCAAAGAGCATTCTGAACTCCACCAATGATGGAATTGAACCAAACTTGGCACACAGAACTCCCATGACCAACAGAAAATACTGGAAGGGTTTGGTGGGCATTGACCTTGGGTTTTGGAGTTGTAGTTCACCTACATCCAGAGAGCACTGTGGACTCAAACAATGATGGATCTGGACCAAACTTGACACAAATATTCCATATGCCCAAATATGAACACAGATGGAGTTTGGAGGAAATAGACCTTGACATTTGGGATTTGTACTTACTGGGATTTATAGTTCACTACAATTAAAGAGCATTCTGAAACCCACAAACGACAGAAATGGGGCAAACTTCTCACACAGAACCCCCATGACCAACAGAAAATACTGAAGGCCATCCAGTCCAACTCTCTTCACCAGGGCAAGAAAATGTAATCAGAGCCCTCCTGACAAAGAGCCATCCAGTCATAAATATAGATAGATAGATATGATTCTCACACACAGAGATATAGTATCATAGATTTCAAAGAGACCCTTAAAGAAGGACTATGATATGTTGCATATTCCAGAGTAGGCAAACCAGAATCTCTACATCAACACTGACTAAGAAACAAGAAGACATACTGTTTACCCGCAAGCATAAAGAAATTAATATATTAGAAACCAACACTTTCTCATTACTTTATTTTCCAGATCACCAGACTGGGCCACAGCAACCCGTGGCAGGGGACAGCTAGTTATTATATTATTATGGTTGAGGGGAGTTGTAGTAAAAAAAAAAAGAATTTCCCCAAGCTCTTCTGACATGTACACAGAGTAATGAATGCTAGGATCTAAAATCTACAACAAAGAGGAGGCAAAGGCCATTTTTTTCTTCCTCCTCTTCTATGAACAGCTAACCTGGAAGGATTTGATGAAGGTCCAGAGCAGGGTGCGGATACCCTCCCCTTTGCTGAGCAGCTTCACCAAGCGCATGACCCGAAAGAGACGGAAGAAGGTGATAGAGATGCGGGAGCTGTCTTCTGAGCTCTGTGGAAATCAAAATCAAGTTGTTCATGATAAACATTTTCTAAAACACGCACAGATATTAAATCCATCCAAGTTGCCTTGCTGGATGGAATCAGGGCTTACTCAATTCACCCCTCTTTTTCTAGTGGGGGCCAGCATTCTCTAGAACAGTGGTTCTCAACCTGTGGGTTCCCAGATGTTTTGGCCTTCAACTCCCAGAAATCCTAACAGCTGGTAAACTGGCTGGGATTTCTGGGAGTTGTAGGCCAAAACACCTGGAGACCCACAGGTTGAGAACCACTGCTCTAGAAGCTCATGGGTGGAGAAACCAGAAGTTGATGGCCCTCTCTTGTGATCTGCTCAAAGCACCTGATGCTTGTTGGAGTTATACTGCCTCTGTATATGGCAGTGGTTCTCAACCTGTGGGTCCCCAGGTGTTTTGGCCTACAACTCCCAGAAATCCCAGCCAGTTTACCAGCTGTTAGGATTTCTGGGAGTTGAAGGCCAAAACATCTGGGGACCCACTGGTTGAGAACCACTGCCCTACAGAGGAAGTATAACTCCAACAAGCATCAGGTGCTTTGAGCAGATCACAAGAGAGGGTGATTCTGCTTAAGCTCAGGAATACGGCCTTCCCATTGTTTTGGAACTACAGCTCCCAGCATTAGCCAATAACATGGAATCATGGGAAGCTGAAGGATACATTCCCTACCTCTGATATAGATAGATGACAGACAGACAGACAAACAGAAGACAGACTGATGGATACATAACATGAGCACACAGATTCACATAACAACAAATGACAGAGTTGCATGCATCTCGGGTAAAAACAGCACATGCCTCCAGCAGCACAATGACCTCACAGTTGGGAAAGGCGGCTACAACATTTTCCCCACTTCCCAGCTGCATTCTTTGCACTGGTCCAGTCATCTCACTGGTCCAAGATTAAGAGGAACAATATTGTGCAGTTGCTAAGCAACCATACTACTTTCCTTCCTCCTGTATCCATAAGCAGGGGAGGGGAGGTGAAAGAGGGAGGTTCATTCTGGGGAATATGGCAACAAGAGCAGTGGGGTGAGATCCAATGATAGTTAGGTTAAACACGGGGCCCCCAAATCTGGGATGGGCACAATGTGGTCTGTCAAATTGGGGTAAGCACTGACTTTAATAGCCATGTCAGTATTCCCATATGAACATAGCTGCCTTTGCACACAAGTACAACACTCGTAAATCTTACACAAATGTATGTCACGGCACACCCAAAAGTGTCAACAAGACCCCAATCCTAAAGCAAATACAGGATGCCAGGTAATCTCCCAGCCGGTGTTCCCACTAACCAGCAGAAGGCAAAGGAGAAGATTACGGTGATACCAATCAACCCTGAAACTTATTTCTATCGATACAGAATGAGTTATACGATACCTCACATACCTTTGACTGAACTTGAAGGGACATACAAACTACTGCACTTTTAGTTCTCAAGGTATCTAGACTGAGCTGTACCTCCCCTTCTTAACGCAAGACCGCTTAGCCCACCTATACCATCTTCTGGTTTTTCTTTATTACATGTATACCCCACCTTTCCTCTGAAGAGTTCAAAGTGACATGTGAGTATGTGTTTATACATGCCTTCAGGTCACCTGTCAACTTATGGCAACCTCAAGAATTTCATAGGAGTTTCTTAGATAAGAAGTATAGGTAACTTTGCCATTTCCTTCTTCTGAAATATGAAGGTTGAATAAAAAGTAATGCCTCCACCTTCGTAACTTCGTAACAGATGGCAGTACTGGTATGCGGCAGGTACTGGCTTGTTCAGTAGACTCTCCTCTGCAGTTCCATTTTGGCGGCAAGCCTTAGCATTGAATGGTTGTGTTGTCAAAGTGCAAAGTATGGAACCCTGTGCAGACAGTCAGTCAATGCGACCTTAGCAACATGCAGTCATTGAATTCTTGACAGCAGAAGGTGTCGCCTCAACATCTTACTTGCCCAGCAACTCACAGTACTCACATCAACACAATCACCATAAACAGCTTGCATTCTCTGATGAACCTCCTTTGGGGTGACACCTTCTGCTGTCAAGAATTCAATGACTACATGTTGGTCTGTGCAGGATTCCATACTTCACACTTTAACAACACAACCATTCAATGCTAAGGCTTCCCACCAAAATGGAACTGTAGAGGAGAGTCTACTGAACAAGCCACTACCTGTCCCATACCAGTTCTACCATCTGTTGAAGAGTTACAAAGGTGGAGGCATTACTTTTCATTCAACCCTCGTATACCCTGGCATTCATTGGTGGTCTTCCATCCAAATATTAACCAGGGCTAACCCTGTTTAGTTTCAAAGATCAAGGAGGTATTTAGGCCCTCCATGTGAACACACATAGTTCTTTCCCATTTCTCACTTCATACCCTTTTTATCCTTGCAAAAACCCAACTTAGTGGTTAGGTTACGAGCTTGTGACTTGTCCAAATCTACAGAACTCAAAGAAAACTTGAACCTCGGCTTCTTCAACAGCAAGTCTAATACTCTAACCACTACATTGCAATAGCTGTCCTATGGATTATTCAGCTGCATAACACTATAACATTTGACACAGATAACGCCTCCATTGCCCACCCCTAAACTCTGAAATACATTTGCAGAAGTACCTCTCCAACATGGCCTCCATTCTAGTGTAAGACAGTGAACGTTCATGATGATATGATGACATTGATGGTGGTGGTGATGATGATGACAACAGCAACAACAGTGATGAGAAAAATCAGATTTTTAAAATATCCGTCATAGAAGGAAAGAGGTGGGAGGCAAAGAAAACAGCAGAATGGATGCTCGGATTGATAGACAAAAGAGAAGCACATAGGTGATTGTAACAATTGAGAAGAAATGCAATACAAAGGGTGTTTTATATCTTTGAAAAATCAAGGTCTTTCCCTTCCTTATATATATATAGAACATTTTCAACAGACTCTGGTATCTGGCACAGAACATTTTTCTCTCTCTGTTCATCATTTTAAAAGCATGTTTCTCACTCTCATAGAGACAAATATGCCTGAGTTACCCTGACTGAAAAAAATAATAATCACATGTTGGCACATTCAGTCCATACACAGGTACTGCAACACGTTCAAAGCTTTCAACAGATTTCCTGCAAATGTGCTTCAGCATCCTACAGGCAGCTGCCACAAGAAGACAAACAAACTAAGGCTGTTTTACAGGACATAGATGAGGGGGAGGACAACTCACGTTGACTTCCGTGACTGCGATGTCTACCACACTCCCAACCACAATCAGGGCGTCAAAGGTGTTCCACGCATCGCAGAAATAGTGCTGGAGGAGAGCAACAGAAGAGCCTTTTTGAGAACCCATTCTGTGAAAAGTAGCCACA